TGTGACGTATTGTCATTAATACGTCGGTTATTTGTTGAATACAATGTGACGTATTATGAATAATACGTTACATTAAATTTATAATGTGGGACGATGAGAAAAGAAATATGATTTCTTTCTCATCGTGCAGGAGCAGAGCTCAGCACTCTCACGGTGCCATCTGAGTCCAGCTTCTCGGTAAAGAAGCTGTTTGACTGTTCTAGTTGTGTGTCAATGATGACACTTAATTGTCTTAGTGTTTCGGGACCGTGAGACTGCTTGCTCTGCAATTTTAAGTCTTGAGCATTTTTACAAAGACTCTGCAAGGGCAGAGTACGATTAGGAGCAAAACAGAGCGGATCTCTGAGCTCAGGCCTTCAGCCAACCAAGAACCAAGTCAAGTCAAGGTCCCAAAGTCGAGTCAAGTACCGCGTTATACCGACCCATTAAACACTACCGTGTATAAAAGGAAGTTAATATATAGTTATTTTACCCACATTAGTACGGTCGGTTTAATATCGTTAACCCTCCCTCTATCCTTCACTTATCCCTCCGATTGAGCGAACCACCCGTGAGCTCACCGAGACTAGCCGAGGTCGGAGGTAAACATGAGTTAAAAACAGATCAAAGAACATTCATTTCGTCACAATGACTAATATTATTAAAAGGTGAAATAATCAGTACAATTTTCATTTTATTCATTGAATGTTCAATACGAGTTGAAATCGTCCAGAAACTAACCCTCGTCCAGAAATTGACATGTTTACCCTACTCTAATCTACTACTTTTCACACGGACATTTCTCCCCATTTTTACAATTTGTGCCTTTCCCTGATCTCTAATAAGATCCTATAATCCGAAAAATCTGAAGCTTTGTCAGATTATAGGTATTAATGATAACTAACTTTGTGCTCCATTTCAGCGCAATCGATCCAGCCGTTTTTGGGAAATCGCTATTTGTTTCTAAATAGTTTTTCGCAAATATCTCAAAAACTACTCAACCGATTTCAATATTTTTTTTTCAAAATATTCGTCTGGATGTTTTCTATCTCAATCAATCAAAATATGCATACCCGTTCATACAAAGTTCTCTTTCAATTCAATTTTTAATTTTTAAGAAAATTTATTGCAAGAAAAATATTCAAAAAAGTAATTTTCCTGCAATAGGCCATCGCCCGAGGGGCTTCAGCCAAAGAGCCTTCAGCCAAAAGCACTCTCATTTTTGCAAGAATCGACATATCAACTTAAAATTTGGCACGAACTTTCCTCTTTATATCAGAATGTTTCGTATTG